TTCTGCTGCTTAATAATTCCCTGGTTTTGGGGAATAAACCCTCATCTTCTCCTTTCCCGGGGGGATCCCTCCTGCAGCCCCGGGGCTGGCTGCACTAGCTCGGCCCCCCCCCCAAATCTGACCCCTTTCTGGGAATGGGGGGAAGGGGATCACCCCACCGAGCAGCGCAACAGCCTAGAAAAGCAATTCTGGTTTCCACCGTTGCCATGGGACAATTTCAAGCAGTTTGCAGGAGCAGCATCCTTTAACAGCAACCGGTCCCTACGCCATGCTGGGCAAGGAGGGAAAACGTCCTGTAAATGCAGATACTTCGGAATACAATCCTAATTTATTCACCTTGTGCAACTCTGTCAGCGGAAGGCGGTGGTTGCAATCTGTTCTGGAAGGAGATTCCCCGCTAGCCAAGTCTTCCTTTACGTGACCTTCGCAAAGGTTTCTTCATATCACCGCTCCTCATACGCATTCCCCCTGCTTAAAAGAAAGTTGACCAGTTTTAAAAATTGACCAGTTCTCACTTACTCAGAAGTTTGGGACTCTTTGAGCTATATTTCCTGTAATAGGATATCTATAGTATCCTAGCCTGACCAGAAGCACGCTAATAGCTTCTAAGTGTTTACAAAACACATCAAAGCCTTTTCTTGTTGTTGTTAGGACCAAAGCAATCTGCCGTGTATGTAACAGCATACCTAGCTGTAATGCATTAGTGAGACGTCAGACTTGGTAGGGACTGGTTCCCGTCTGAAAGATTTAAGGCTCCTGTTAACAAGAAGTAGAAGCGAGCGAAAAATCACAACAGATAATTAGAAGACGAAGTTTCTTCTGGGAAAACGGCAGGCCACGGGGCACGGCTGTAAGTAGGTTAGTCCCCATCAGCACAATCACCACCCGGCTGTATCTTCATTTCACAAATGTAGTTTTTTAGAATTTAACAAAGTGCTGTTTGTTTGCCTCATGTTTGTTTATGAATTTCCCAGGCTCAGTTTAAGTTTTGATGAATGATGCATGAAAATTGACCAAAGGTACTTAATTTCATTTAATAAGTATCTGTAGCTCTGCTTCTATTTTTAAGGAGGTTATTAATTTCCATTAAAATCCCCACTGGCAGGTTTTTCACAGTCCTCAAGGAACACTCATTTCTATGTAAAATATGCCTTGTGACTTCCTTTCAGCAGAGTTGATTTATTTACCCTATTAAATTAATATTAGGAAAATCTAACTTTTGTTTTTTTTTTTTTTTTTAGTGAAAGCATAACTGGTAGGTGACATTGTGTGGAAACTCTTGACACAGACATGAAACCTAGAAGCCCATACTGGCGTAAGCAAACTTCACTTAAATGATAGCATCAGCCTTCTCTTAGGGGTTTTTATTTTAAGCACTTGCCCTGTGAAGGACTTTCTACTCCATTTGAACACATTCAGTTAGACAATAAATCAATACTGAGGTTTGATTGCCAGATATTTGAGCCTTTGAGAACATAACAAGGTTTCAACAGCACTTGGAAACTCCTTACTAGAATGAGATTTCACAAACTTTGTATTTCTCATCTGGGTGTTTAAAAATCTGGCACTTAGGAACTTTCTATGACGTTTTACGAACTTTTGACAGCTTTAGTGGCAAATTTCCTAAGGTCCAGACCCAAACTCTGTAGGTTAGGCCTTACTGATTTTTCTGCAGCCTTAACTAGACAAGGAGAAATGCGGTGATCTGTCTGGACATTCGGTGTGTCTGGGGAAGATATATTTATCAATTAATTATTAACTTAAACTGGGCAGCATCTCTGTTGATGTGATTATTTTTTTCAGTGAGTTTTCACAGTACTGAATGCACTACGTAACAATTTTTTTTTTTCTGATTTATTGTGCTGTAGACTTTGAGATTATTGTACTTTTTGCTCCAGGCCTTCCAGAGCCCTGAGAATCAGCTTTGTTCAAGAGCAGCTACTGTAAATGACACTGGCAAAGTGACAGAGGCCAAATAGAGATGGTTGGAAAAGCACCTAGAACGTCAAGCTCTGATGTAGTGTTATATTAAGAAAATTGCTGCCAGTATATAATTTGTAACATAAGTAATTGAAACATTTTGCATCTCCTCTGCTCTTTCTTGGGCTGAGTGCCCTGATACTTAACTCTTATCTTGCCACAGTTCTGGACAGCTTGACTTCCTCAATCATGAACATTCAAAGGGCACTAATATACTTTCCCCCATTGCTCTAAATAGTATGATCTTTCCTAGATCCAGACACACCTCACTCCTGAGACCACTTCTCCTACTTACGTTCCCCTTCTCTAAGAAGGAATGAGTAGATTCAGATAGTTTCATGCTCTCAGTCTACTGCTTGATTTTGCAAGTGAAACTATAAAGGAAGAATGAAAGAGAATGCTACCAAAAATAAAAAGTGTGGGTGTCTAAATGTGAGAAGCCAAAAACTGTCACTGTAATACCAATAATATCTGTGTATGGTGAAACGTATTCCTGCATCATGTCTCGAAGGAAAATCACCAATTAGAATATTCAAAGTTGTTAAAAACAGCATCCAGAAAAAGCGATCTTTTCAACTTTCTTGACTAATGAAAATAAAAAGGGTGAGAGCCTCCTCCAGCACAGTAATCAAACCTTTTCCCATATTCAGATATCTGCTTGGCTTAGATGTTATGTGACACTGAGATGTGATTGAGAAAGAAGCTGCCACCCACCACAGTCCTAACAAACACCTGTGTTAACATGCTCATGAGGAATCACAAGGAGGAAGAAGGACTTGCAAGCAGCAGAATTCTAAAGAAAATTGTTTTCTGTTATATTTATAGCTAGCTACCAAGAAGATGTTGAAATTCATGCCGAACATGAGGAGGATCTGAATCAAAGTATCACATGCAATTTAGGCAACAAGGAACCTACAGGGACACTGAAAACTTAGAAAAGCTAAAAGAGGCTTTGGAGAACTTTGTCAATGACAAAGCAATGGCTGCTCCAGCATTCTCAGCCCCTGAAAACAAAGTACAAGGATTACACAAAGACAAAGCTGAAAAAACAATTCAGAGAAGTTGTGGAACCTTCCCATTATTGAGCAACACGACCGACTCAAGTTAAAAGGTCATGAATTTAGTATAAAAGAGGAAGAAGCTGAAAGGCACCGATGGAAATACAATACTGAACTCTGTTCTTCATTTTTTTTCTTATTTACAGAGATCAAGGAGTTGTATTGCTGTTCTAGCGACACAGAACATTCAAAAATTACCGAATCGCAAAAGATAATTGATAGCTGATTCAAAAGGATCTGAGCTCCTAGCAATCTCATTTGGCTTAAAACAAACTTGGTTTTAGCACTTTTCCAAAACTCACAAACAGGACAGATACTGGAAAAGGAAGCAAGCTGTTTACAGCATGTGGCATCTGTGGACTGATATCACCTTATATACCAGGGACTTTTAAGTGAGAAGCTGAATTACTTGGACTAAAACTGTTTTCATTATCATGGGTTTGGTCTAGGGATGATGTAATGTTAATGGACAGAGGAACTGCCAACAAACATGAACTGTATTTACAGACTTGGCAATGACACCCTTACAATATCCTGGACGTGTGCCCCCAACCTCAGATGCTGTGAGACATTGCTCAAGTAACAGTGCAGATAAGGCGGCTTAGCTTTTTCTGACAGAGGAACTGTAATGAAAAGCTGCAGGTAAAGTTTCTTGGCACTGCATTCACTTGGCAGCTCTTCTGATAAAATCCAATTAAATGCTTGTTTTGCACTGTTCTCTATTTTTTTTTTTGTGCAGTGCCAATGACCTTTGACCAAAACCTTGTCCTCTAGCGAGACCCAATTTCTCTGGGGACTATGCGCATGTGGGAGGAATTGGTTTATTGCTTTCCAGTTCACAAATGGAAACTGCTCTGACTCAGTCCCAGGGTAAATAAAAGCAATGCTTTCCCTATCATCCCTATCATAAGCAACTCTGATTTACATAAGCAGGCTATCCTCCCCAAGAGACACTGCACCAGTTCAGCACTGACAGAATGCCATTCTGCTCCACCTTAGTCCAGGAAATGCTTTTCTAAAAACTTGTACTGCCAAATTTTACCCCAGTTAGAGAATTCCCTCGGGATAGGGGCGTCATCTGATTGAGATAATTACAGAGTCTAAAGAGGCAAGATCATCAAAAGAGAGAAAACATCCCTTCTATTTATTTTAAAAACTAAAAGATGACTGTTAAAAGTAGAACTGGCCAGTGTGAAGACACCCAGCTCAGTCCAGAAAGCAAAGTCTTCTGGAGGGCAGAGCCAAGTGTAGAGAGGTTTGCATATTTATAAAAATGATCTGTTACATTGCTGCTCATTGAGCAGATGTGAAATTTGGGGGGGAAAAAAAAAGTCTCTTCATAGCTGGGGAAAACATCTGGAACATAGAGATGTCATTTCTCTGAAAAGACTTGCAGCACTTGAATTTTTACAACCTATTACACATTTAAACTCTAGGTCTTAATCACTAGATTAACCTCTTGCCTGTAAGAAAAAAAAAAAAACCACACACAAAAAAGTTTTTCAATGTCCCACCTCAAGAAAACAATAAGGAAGAATAATTTTTTTCTTTCCCATTTTTAAAATTAGGAGTGCTCAAAATTGGGGTTACGATGCAATCCTAGTGTCCTGCCCTGCCTACTAGATTTTGCAGTATTGCATCTACACTCAATTTGCCTGTGTAGCTTTCTTGCGACCTCTCAGGGTGTTGCAGTTTTCTCATAACATGTAATAAAGTTATGAATGTT